GAAGGTAATACTTTAGCAATATAGCTGTACAGTAATATGAAATGATAACTTAACCACTCTCCTATTACATTTACCAGGTAGTCATAAGCTAATACAATTGTGTTGTCATTGAATTTCTAACTGTCACATCGTATTCATATGCCATACTTCAGTTACTTGGCAGGCATTGTATTTACTTCTTCATGGGAATTCACACCGTTAAACTGTCAGAACACAACACTAACACAAAGAGAGGATTCTTATTTTTCAGGGAGAGATAATTTTGCTTTATTCTGTACAAATTTATTGCCTTCAGTTGTTTGGGTGTGAATTATTAAAGTGTAATGATTTTAACTTCTTGAAATAAAACAAAATTTGTGGCACAGTTGGTGTAGGTACTGTAGATAGATAGGTTGAATGTATTGGTCTTTTTAATTTGTTTTCTTATTAATATTTTTTTTTTCTCCAGGATTTGTGGGCTTTTTCAATACCATCATTCTGTGGCCCGGGTTCCCCCTGTTGGATGTTTTTGGATGGGAGACATTTCAGTTGCCAAATCTGCAACACCTGTTCTACATGTCTGTTGTAAAGGCCTGGGACTTAGGGATAGAAATCCCTTACCAGGCTAATCAGGATCTTAATATAGGAAAGTCAAGGACCATGGTTTTCCGAGGAATAACAAACAACCGTTAGAGATTGGCATCTCTTTACTATAAAAATATAACAAAAACTCTGACACCACTCAACAAACATCAAATAATTACGGGAGTCAAACAATTAAAGGAAGCAAACAACTTAAAGGAATCAAACAAATAATAGAATCGAACAATAAAGGGGAGTCAGCAATTAATGGAATCAAACAATTAAATGGAGTCAACAATTGATAGAATCGAACAATAAAGGGGAGTCAGCAATTAATGGAATCAAACAATGAACAAATATTTCCTACGGCAGTGGCCCTGGGGGAAGGTTCTGGAACGCGGTGATGCACACTCAGGGTAGGGAAGCGTCCATTCACTCCACACTCAGCAACGTCTTGAAAAGGCAGGAGAACACCGGGGCACCGACGGAATGTGATGAACTGATGGTCGTGGTATGCGGTAGTGGTAGATGACCAGAGAGTTGGCAGTTGATAGGTGAAGGTCTGGGAACACAGCCCACGAGTCCAGGACCTATGATGAGATCACAGCCAGAATTTGACGGACAGCAGGGTAGCTAGATACTGACGGTATGGCGGCTGGGTTGAATCTGCCGTGGCGGAGATAGTCGCTGCCGTTCTCACCTCCGTCCAACCACCCCAAGTGTCGTATGCACCAGCAAACGAGCGAGTTAGCAGCGGTAACTAGCCGGAGGATCGTTTCCGCCCTTACACTGCTCCCCCAACAAAAATCTACTGTAAGGTAGATTAAAACTTAAGATTAGTACACAAAGCATAATCATCTTACAACAAATGCTTAAATACACATTGCACAATAAAGAAGGGTCATAGAAAAGAATAGGTGGTAACTTGATGTCCAAAACGTAATGCCGTATCAAGGAACTGCACGTGGGGTCCACTTCAGTCCAAGTTTAAGTTTGGGCCTATTTCCTGTCGTAGAGGATTCTTCTATCTCGTCAGGTGTTGGCAGCAACTGGCAACCGAGATCAACAGGCTCTGGCGTCCGAACTTCACAGGAACTCTTGCAGGGTAGTGCCTCGACTAACTCCAGCTTGGGGACGTCGTCAAGGACACGAGCAATGTGGGTCCTGCAATTATATTGCTTTAACAAATTAGCTTGATGTAATTTAGGCTTCTTAGAGGAAGGGGGTGAGAATCGTCCAACAAAATCTATGGCTACCCGAGAAGATGGTTCTGCAACGACGGGTAAGGGTTCAAGTGGAACAGGACGGACTCTACCCTTGGCGGACATACGTGGACACTGATCACAATTCCTACAAAAAGCTCTAATATCCGCTCCCATACCTGGCCAGTAAAACTGATCAGCAACCTTCCTATAAGTTTTCCTACGAGAACAGTGACTTACAAGAGAGCTCTTGTGAGCTACAGAGAGAATGTTACTACGACAAACAGCAGGGACAACAAGTAAAAACCGACCTACTTTAGCTGGTCGCTTGGATGAAACACAAGACCTGTGTAACACCCCATTAATAGAAACAAACTTATAAACCGACCCATCTCTCACCTGATCCTCCTCCCCGGAAGTCACCTTCTCCCTTACCCGCTTAAGAGTGGCACACGAGTCTTGAAGCTTGGCGAACTCCTTGGGCGTCACAGTCAGTGGCAACAAATTCGGCAGAATCAGGGGATGCGGTCGTTTCACCTTCGCCGTCCGTGGCCCTACAGCTTGGACCTTGGCGGCAGGCGTGGCGGCGTGAGAGGGTGGCGAGGCGACCTCGGCAGGTGGCGAGTCGTCGTCCTCAGCAGGTGGCGTGGGGACTGGTGCTGGTGGCGAGGAGACTAGTGCTGGTGGCGAGGAGAGTTTTAACGTTTCCGGGTCGTTAGGGTCACGAACACCGGGAACATTACCAATGAGGGCACTTGCACATTTAATGGGAGCTCTTACCACATTAGACCAACCAGTGAAATAGGGGCAACGCAGGTAGCACCTAACAACAGGGAACTGGTCAACACGACCTAAATAATCGGCGACACTAACCTTCGGGCAGCTGGAGATGTCAGCGTCAGGCAGGGCTTCTTCAGAGACAATAATGCACGAGCAACCAGTGTCCCTGATGAAAGTAGATGCCCTAGACCCATTGATTGTTCCACTGACACAATAACGGGGGCAGCTCTTGTCCACCAAACAGAATCCGACCTTGTTGCTGGGTTGATGAGTGTCAGCAGTCTTGAAGGCGAGGGGATTCCTGGGACAGCGAGAACGAATGTGCCCTTCTTCTCCGCAGCTGTGACACCGCACGGCTGGTGAACTACTCTTGTGTACTCCTGGGGATGGTTCCTCGGAGGACGGAGGCTTCGCAATCTTCACTACAGGAGGGGAAGACTTGGGGTAGGCGTTGCGAGCAGACGCCCAGTTGTCGGCAAGATGCACAGCTTCTCCAAGCGTCGCTGGCTGGTGTTCTTTGATGAAAATTCTCAAGTCTGGAGGTAGAGAAGACAAAAACTGATCTAATATCATGAAATTAGAGAGAGACTCAAAGGTTTCTTCAACCCCTGATGTCTCCAGCCATTGTTGAAATAAACGACCCAGGTGAATCGAAAACTGCTGGTACGTTTCTCCCGCTCTAATCTTCGTTCTGCGGAAATCAGCACGATAACCGTCAGAAGTCTTGCAAAATCCTCGCAAGAGAGCTTGCTTCAACAAGAAGTAATCTCGGGTGATGTCGGCAGACAGGGACGTGTAAATTTCTACCGGCTTACCACTCAGTAGGCTACCCAACCTTACAGCATAGCTATCTGGGGCTACACCAAGCAGCTCAGCTACCCGCTCAAACCTAACAAGGTAGGAGGCGATGTCTTCTCCTTCACGGTACACAGGCAAGCTGGGTTTTACCACATTGTCCTGTATATGGCCAGAGGATGCTGGTCTACTTGAAGCATTAATCCTAGCCAGTTCTAGGTCCTTTTCTGCCTGCAACTTAGCTAATTCGACTCTCCTTTCTTTCTCACGTTCCTCCAACTCTCTCTCTTTCTGGCGTTCCTCTCTCTCTTTCTGACGTGCCTCTCTCTCTCTCTGACGTTCCTCTCTCTCGGCATTCTGTTGGGTGACCACATACTGACCAATGTCATTACCTGTCAGACCCAGGGCCACCGCTTGATCTTTCCACACCTCAAAAGCAGACATAATGATCCGAAAGGCCAAGAACAAAGGAAAAACAAACAACTTACCCCGCAAATAGCCAAAGGTAACTCACCTAGTGGCTCAATCAGACCAGTAAATGATTTGATCCGACTGGAGGGAACCTCGTTCCGCACCCAGCCCAGCTGAATCACCTCAGGGTAACGTAACCGCACCAGGTGAAACAACAACAAATATGCTATGACAGCATCCACAGTGCACCCCAACCAACACTAATTAACTTCCCAAGTACAAGGGAGAGCAACAAAATTAGCACACAGAAGGAAGGGATAACCACTGAACAACACTTGCTTCCGGGCCACAGACAGCAAGGTGGCGCGCTCACGGCGACTTACAACAACACCGGAACGAATGTTAAACCTCAGAAACCAAAGGTCAGAGACAATCCTGGCAAGGTCGCCACTTGTAAAGGCCTGGGACTTAGGGATAGAAATCCCTTACCAGGCTAATCAGGATCTTAATATAGGAAAGTCAAGGACCATGGTTTTCCGAGGAATAACAAACAACCGTTAGAGATTGGCATCTCTTTACTATAAAAATATAACAAAACTCTGACACCACTCAACAAACATCAAATAATTACGGGAGTCAAACAATTAAAGGAAGCAACAATTAAAGGAATCAAACAAATAATAGAATCGAACAATAAAGGGGAGTCAGCAATTAATGGAATCAAACAATTAAATGGAGTCAACAATTGATAGAATCGAACAATAAAGGGGAGTCAGCAATTAATGGAATCAAACAATGAACAAATATTTCCTACGGCAGTGGCCCTGGGGGAAGGTTCTGGAACGCGGTGATGCACACTCAGGGCAGGGAAACGTCCATTCCTCCACACTCAGCAACGTCTTGAAAAGGCAGGAGAACACCGGGGCACCGACGGAATGTGATGAACTGATGGTCGTGGTATGCGGTAGTGGTAGATGACCAGAGAGTTGGCAGTTGATAGGTGAAGGTCTGGGAACACAGCCCATGAGTCCAGGACCTATGATGAGATCACAGCCAGAATTTGACGGACAGCAGGGTAGCTAGATACTGACGGTATGGCTGCTGGGTTGAATCTGCTTGTGGCGGAGATAGTCGCTGCCGTTATCACCTCCGTCCAACCACCCCAAGTGTCGTCTGCACCAGCAAACGAGCGAGTTAGCAGCGTTAACTAGCCGGAGGATCGCTTTCGCCCTTAAGACCAAGTTTTAACACGGCTTAGTAGGAACTGTCCTGTCTGAACTTCTTTGGCTTTGGTTAGTAATGCTTTATCAATTAAACCATTTATAACAAAGTATTGATATTGTCAATCTCATTTATGAAATTTGATTAATATGTCCAGAATTTTTATGGTTGGGCACTGATGACCATGACCTCTTTGAAATGTTGATTCCGGCCATTATCTCCCATATGTTTAAACCATAGATTATGATTATTGAAAAACCATCATAAAAAAGGAAAATAAAAAACTATAGGTACAGTAGCTAAAAGAAGTATCTGTACTTACTCTGTGTGAAACAATATGATACCTTAGGTTAGTTTATAATCATCTTGAGCCTGACTAGACAGTATGGCATCAAGTACTTTTTGAGAATGGACTCTGTGGTTTGAGGATGCTAGATTGTGTAAAGTGACAGGGAAAATGTAGAAGGATGTCTTTGAGCATTGTTGTGGAAGGGAACAATATCGCACAATGCATGTGTCTTAGCGGTTTAGAGGATGAGTGACAAAAGCGAACAGTGTGTGTGTGTATATGTTCTTGATTGTAGCCACTGTATCATAAAAGAGAAAAAGGATGTACCAAATAGGTGCTTACCTTTATACTTTATTTCTTGAAATAAAGTCTGAATTTGTTTCTAAATTGAAGTGTTTCAGAGAATATCATACATTCCTCTCTTAGCTGATAATGCAAGAAAAAATTTGTGCAGTAAAGATTCTTTTTTTTTTAATTGTCTTCTTAGTTAACACCTTCTATAATTGTTTGACCTACATTGGAATTACTTGGGAATTGAAGGTGTTTTATTTTGCAGGGGATGCTTCCTTACTTCATCATTGATGGCTACTTTATCTTTGAGCTTAACTATTCCCTTGACAATGCTTGTGGACATCTGGCTCAAGGGCATCAAGTATTCACTGCTAATTTATATTGGTGCATTTCCCATGATGACATCTTTTATTGCTGTCTCACTTCTCACACATTATGAAAGCTGGGACCCATTGATGGATGGAATGAAATATCTTCATAGAAAGTGTTGGAGAAGAAACCACATGTACAGGTAAATTTAACTTTATATAATTTTCTTTGTAGTTGAAGCTGATGGTATACAATATTAAAGAAATATAAATTTTGAATTACAGTATAGATAATAGATGTACACTTAAGTTATATTTTTTCTCCAGATCTTGTAGAAAATATGATAAGTTTTTGTCTCGTAAATGTTATATTGCTTTTAATTTCTGCATATTGGCATCCATCCAAGTGTTTGCCTTGGATGAATCTGTATACTGTACAGGGGCCCCTGAATAATGAACGGGTTACATTTCAGGACCTGTTCATAAGTTGATTTATTCATAACTCAGAACCTTGTTAATAACGCAAAATAAAATATGAATAAAACACCCATCCTTATCTGTCAAATCATAAAATTTATAATGCCATAAGTAACAAATAATGTATGGAGGTGTGCTGCTGAACAAAGTAGTTTTACCTTGGGAAGTACAGTACCAGTGATTTTATTATGAGTAGTATTAGGATCACAATAATTCCATGCTTGTTGTTTGACATCATAAGATGGGTGTACAGTAGGGAGATGGTGATGGTTAGTTGTTGATCGGTGGTAAAGAGAATACGACATGCACGATTCTCAATAAATCATTTCTTACCATATTTTATGTTATGTACAGTACAGTACTCTTGTGAATGCAGTACTCTACTGCTGTGACGCCATCGTGGATGAAAATAGGCATACGTACTATAGTTAAAAAAGTCAATCTTTGCGATGTTCAGACCCTAGCCCTCTTTCCCATAAGAAGTTCAGTAAAGAATGATTCACAACTAATTGAGGTTTCAGGAACCTAATATCATTCTTTATCGAGGGTCCAGTAATGTATATTGACACCAGTGTAATTCATAAGTTGCTTGGCTATCTAAATACGTATCGTCAATTTATTGTCAAACGACATTTCTAATAGTATTACTCGTAACAGAATATGTACCATTGTTGCCACATGGTACAGTATCTGAATTTTAAATAGTTTTATAGTGGTTTGATAACAAAGGTTTAAAGTACATTATATAAAGGATCAACAAACCATCCTTCTCCCTTATCTCAGTATGTTTATCGCTTCTCTGTGCTTGTTTGAGAAGAAAAGAAATCATTACAATACTCTAATGTGGCTTAGAAATAAAGAAATTATAAAACTAAAAAAAAAAAAATTAAGAGCATGTGTGTGTATGTGTGGGAAGTGAACATATGTATTAAGGCATTGGGTCAGCTGGGTGACTGCCCGGCTGTACTGTGTCACGTGCATACTGTACCAGGAATACCCCAGTTATCGCAAGGGAGGCATTCCTAAAAGTCATTGAAAATAACGAAATTGTGAATATTGGGGCAATTTTCCCCCATAAGAATTAATTTGAATAAGGGGAGATGCTTTCTCAGCCAGCAACTTTCACCACATATATTTCAATAGATACTCCTCATTATCCAAGGCAATTACGGACCTTAGGCACCAGGGTTGCATCATTTGTGCATATACTGTAGTACCAGTAAATGTTAGGAATAAATAAAAATTATACTACTTACCTGCATGGGCCTACATCTAGCAGGAACTTTCTGTCCAGGTTTCATGAGTATAATATCCCCACGCACCAGGAGAGACCAAGGGAGGTTGACTGTGTTACCATCGCGACGAGTCCACTGGAGGGTGATGCAGGGGGAGTGGAGGTGAGGATAGTTCTCGGCAGACCACAACACATTGCCGTGGTATTCTGAAAAAAAAAAATGGCACGCATGACACCAACGGAAACAAGCAAGAGTAAGTGACAAAGAAACCTCAAATACTGTAGTTAGGAGAGAACAGTGGTGGGTAGTGGTGTAATGATAAGTGTAGAAAGTTGCAGGAGAGTAGTGTCAAGGTCCTAGTATGAAACAACACACACACTGACGGTACTTTTGTGGGTAACTAAATAAAGAACAGTTTTAAAATTCACAGACAATGTTCGGATATTAATAAAAAACGTTACCGTAAGTCACAATGCTTTACCTTTAAGATCCTTTAAGACGTTGTGTGTGAGTCTTGGGACCTCTTTGTGCCTCAGCTGAGTGTCCCACCACACCAAGTACACGTTAAGAATTACTGCTAAGAAAATGAAGAAGGACTCGGCAGGAAGATGCTGGTACCTGATAATAATAATAAACATATTACATCATCTGTAAATCTAAACAGAACAAAATTCATCTTAAATTCTCTAATGGAAAAATTATTAAGGACATCAGAGTAGTTATCCTATCTGTCAACAAATGGTTGCTTTACTGCTACTGTATGTTTGCTTGTATTTACACTCATACCAAATCATAAGGTCATATATTTTTACCTATGTATGGAGAATATTACACCAGTCCACATTCTCAGGTCAATATATAGCACAGAAAGAATCAAAGGTAACTTCATATGCCTGTTGTATTTTATGGACCCATACTGTACACACCTGGGGTCATTACATGCAGCGAAGGCCACCAGCAGCACGATGCCTTCAACGATCAACGCTATCACTGATGTCCAATGAAACACAGAGAGACTACTCTTGTGGTGGAAGGCTTCATACAGAACACTCTTTGATCCAAAACCTTTGTTCCTGAAATATAAAACATAATACAGTATCACCAAACATATGAGGTGTTTACAATAGCAAGGGCACATCACTGGGTTGCTCAATTTCCCATTTTCTGTGTCAGTCCATAGCATCATTGTCAGGCAATGTGGATACACCTCCAGCATGGTACAATCCCATAAGAAACCAAGGGCAGAAAACATGCAGTACAGCCCGAATAATTGAACCGAGTTGAGATATTCGCACATACGCCCTGGTTAGTCTATACGCCTCATTTACAAGAAAGTACAGACTCCAATATGCCCCACAGGTTAATACTGTATTTCAAAATTAATTAATAATCTTTTCTACACTTACTTTTCAGCTTCTGTCTTCTGATATTCATCCAAAGCGATGGAGATGTCCTCATGCAAGAGACTGAGGGCCTCACTTGTGGGTAAGCCATCAGCACTGCAGGCCATTTCCTTCAAAACAAAAGGAAATATTCTACAACAACAACAACATTAAGCAACAAGTTTATAATCATTTTACCAAACCTGACATATAACACACAGGAATAAATGCTACTATCTGCCAGTATAACATCTCCCACCTCCTTTCTTTGTATTTCACTTGAATCAGTTTGTACACAACACAGACGATATATATAACAGTAGAAGAGCTGACGGAACGCTAAGTCATGAGGCCATCACCAGACTGTAATTCTTCTGCCAGATGTCTGTGAGGGATATTTTGCTGATTTTTTTTTAATACGGTACGACAGATGATATATCCAGGGTGAATAGACCACAGGTTCAAACTGACTGCCTTGGTGTATTAATCAATCAAGCCATGTGCGCTGATTAAGCAGATTGAGTATTGCTTTTGAAGACATATTCTGGACTTAGCTTCCTTGTCACACTGCCATCACCAAGTAACTGAACTTTGCAGCGAGGATGACAATGAACAGAATGATCTATGCAAAAAAAAATATATATATATCCACTAAAACTGCTTAAGAAATAGTCCTTTATTCTTGTACAGTATCCAACATTTCAAGTGTTACTCGACTGTATTAGTAATTCAGACTTTTTCGACATTTAATCGGTCATCTGAAGCTACCCAGAGTAACATTCAATTATAAATATAACTAAAAATAACAAAGTAAACACAAGCAACAAATAAATAAATTACACAGCTAAAAATTAATTTGGGTAAAAAAAAATTCAAATAAAAATGACA